TATATCATTGAACTGGGTCGAATTTACTAACCTCTGTTGACACATAGGCTCTTATTCAAATATCTTTGTATTGCTTGAAGACTATTTTTCAATTTAGAGGTTTGATTCTAAGTTGATATTCGTCGTGAACTGAAATTGGAAACTTGGAATCACTGGATAGCTGTTTCGTCCTAGTATGGGACTCCTCAGCAGTGCGCACTCATCATCCTCCACCCCAAGGGATCAAACCCACTACCTTCGAGTTCCATGGCCAGCACCAATAGTTCATATTTCTTACTTCTATTAGTTCACAATACAGTGCGATCTCCATCCTATACATTTTTTTTCTACATTCATCTTCATATTGCCTTTTGACATCTGGATACTTTGTGTAAGGCGATTAATTACTACTTGAGATTACATGAGTAGGAATAATGCAATGAATTTTACTTTAAATTGTTATTCAGATTACTTTTATCGAAAAGTAGTTGAAAAAGTTGTTGATCGAGTGCCAATGAATTCAATTCAGACTATAAAATAATCTTATCTTGTTCAAGTAGAGTAGAAAAAAGAAACAGACAGAAGGTTTACGTCGACAAGGTCTCAACAACTAGGTAGCTATGTACTCATTTCCACCATACTTTTTCATAGAATGATACATCGTAAATAGACAACAACTGAAGACAGTTATTATTTCTTGCCTATTCAATTCAAGTAACCTATTCAGCCGAAAACAAAATTATTTGGAAGTAAATTTTATATACTTGCTATCCATAATACAAATAATATTATCTCCCAAGCTATATTCATTAGGTAAATGATGCCACTTTTAATGTTAGACGGGTACTACCTATTTGCATATACTGAGGAACAAGTACCAAAGAAAAATACCACCTTCCTTTCGACAATAACAGTGGATTTGCTGAAATTATGCGATAGTGAGAGAAGTTAACCACTGAACTATTTACGATGGATAGTGGATTCTAGGATGCGTGTTTCGTCCTATTCCGGACTCGTCAGCTGGATGCATCTGCCTCCCAGTCGTTGTTCCCATCGAGACTCAAACTTGGGATCGGTCGCTTCAAACGACAGACCGTTATCTATTAGATCACCGAGCCACGATAGCCACTTCTTATGCAAAGGCTAGTTTTTGGTGTTGTTGCTTGCATTATCCCGTCGTTGATTGGACCGAATTAATCGGTCTCTATTGGCATATGGGCTGGTGCGTGGATGCCACGATACTGCCTGTGTTTCAATTATATATTTATGATGGATGGTGGATAATACAAGCAACAACACTAAACACTATACTCGTCACACAGAAACTAGCCATCGTGGCTCAGTAGACTAGTGGATAATGCTTTGGCGTTTTTAATGATCTGCCCCCAGTTTAAGCCCCGCTGGGGACATCACTCACTGGGAAGGCAAGTACGTCCAGCTGACGAGTCCCAAATAGGACAAAATGCGCATCCTGGGTTCTGCTGCTAGCCACTATCCATCGTAAATATATAATTGATAAGCAGGCAATATCGAGGAATCCACGCAAGAGCCTATATACCAATGGGAACCGACCACTTCAGTCCGCTGACCGATGGGATAATACATGGAACAACACTAATCCCTGAACTGTTCACTGACATAGTATTTCTGCTGCGTTGTCCCATCTAGATTCTATATTTATCGACATAATCTTCTTGGAAACAGTACGAACTTGTTCTTGTTTTGGCTTCATGTTTTCTTCAATGAACCTTGGGAGATACTTTCTGAAGGTCTTTCAACTCATCGTCTGATGTGTTATTTGGGCATATTCTTTTGAGTTTAGTACCCAGTGAATGAATAAAGTACCTTTATTGGCCCAGGGGTATTCAAATTTGGAAATGAGTATGCCTTTCCTTCCATGCTGACTTCCTATAGACTAACCTTTCTAAAGAACCATAAAGTCTCTTCTCTTCTGAGTTGTTCTTAACTTCCATTGTGAAATTGATAGACGGATGACTCTCAATTATATCAAGATCAATTTTTTTTATCCCAGACGATGAAGGTATCTTCTATATAGATAGAACTAATCAATAATTGGGCATAGTAAAATATTACAAATCAATTAATGTTGTAAAGCCTACATGAACTGAAATCATCTGGAAATGCATGCAAGAAAATTTATCAATTGATAATCATCATCATTATATAAGCAGTCAAATAACTTGAGCCAGATGTGTTGTTCAAAAAGGTTCCAAGTGCTGTTTAGTTTTTGAATTTTCCTCTGTTTGTTTTAACTCACTGACAATATTTTATCAATACTGTATCAACAAACAACTACGAACAGCTGAATCAATCATCAATTCAGATTAAAACATTATCCATCTTTAACTAGTCACAACTAATAGAAATATGAGGACAAAAGTGAGAATAAATCCTTTTGACATATCTACCGCGCTACATGCTACCTATATACACCACATAGATCCACATCACCTTATTCATCATGGATCGGACAACATCAAAAACAACGATAATTTGCATGGATACAATTATGATTAAATAGGAGGCGTATACCGCGTAGAGTCATACAGCATGGTTTACTTCATGACCATGTTTCCAGCATAAATTACCATTCCTCATAATCATATCAATGTAATCACACTACTTACGATATCTGATGTTTATAGTCTCATCACCTGTTACTCTTGGATAGTAAAATTCTCCAAATCTCCTGTGTTTCCCTTCATTCCTCTCACATGTATTGGTTGGGTGTTGATTCAATGAACAAGGATTCAACAATCAACAGTCTCTCTCTCCACCTGGTTAGACTGAACTTACATACACTGGTTTCATCCCACCCGATTGTGTCTTAATGCATGCATTACAAAAACAGAATGCTTTTCCCCTGGATTATTGATCTTATTCCGGTCTGGCATTCTATATTTAGCGAAATTCACATGTTCGGCCAGCTAGTTTCATCTATGTACTTGACCTCACAGTCATTGCATGGAAATTGGTAGATTAGATTATTTTGCTGAATTGGTTCTATTGGATCCTTAAGCCGGTCGACAAAGCTTGTCTCCCAGTGAGTTAATAGGTTTAAATGCCAGTCTTATTCACGATCCGACATAAACTTCCTGATGTTTTTTCCTCATAGAGTAACACAGTGGAGGGTGTAAACTCCTTTCCATTATTATTCGTACTCGTGTTATTGTTATTATTTCGTTCCTTGTGTTCGTACAAAATTCTTAATAAATTTTGTATTTTTTATATGATTCAGTTCCTTGTTTAGGTCCTTGCACTAACTAGTCAGCTTTTTGGCTCTATCATTTAGACATTTGAGTAAACCTGCCGCCCTAACTGATATTGGATGAGATGATTTAAAGTCAATATGCCTGTAACAATGTGTCGGTTTCCTGTAGATGGTAGTATCTGAACAACCGACTGTCTCTCGTACGAACACAAACAAAGTAATAACGGTAACAGGAGTACGAATAATAATGAAAACACAAATAGATAGGAGTTCACAGCCTCCATTGTGTTATCCTATAAGGAACGAACATCAGAAACTTTACCTAGGATTCTCAACGAAGCTGGTGTTAAGGTGGCATTTAAACTTACAAACTCACTGGGAGATAAGCTTTGTCGGCCGGCTTAAGGATCCTTTAGAACCAATTCAACAAAATAATCGAATCTACCAAATTCCATCCAATGACTGTGAGGTCGACTACATACGTCATAGTAGCCGGTCAGGGTCAGTTAGAATAGCGGAACATAGGAATTTAGCTAAATGTAGAATGCCAGACCCGAATAAAATCAATAATGTAGAAAAACACTCAGCTATTGTATTGCATACATCAGCACATAACCATGCACTAGGGTGGGCTGGGCTACAACTGCCTATACTTAAGTCGATTATAATTAGGTGGAGAGAGAGGGAGATTGATTACTGAATCTTTGTTCATTGAATCGACACTCAACACATGTAATAGAAATGATCCAACACCTGCACCAGAGATATGGAAATTTTTACTACCAATAAAAAGGAGGAATATGAGGTGATAGGACCATAGAAATGAAATGTCTAAGGTAATGTGATTACATTGATATGATTATGAGGAATGGTAATTTATGCTCGAAAGTTGGTCATCAAGTAAACCATACTGTATCATTGTGTGTGATAAATCAAATATGGAATTAAATTCTATCACAGTGCCCAAGTTCCACACTTATATTAACGAGGCGTATGCATAGAGAAAAGTCAGTTTCCGTCTTCAATAATATTATATATGTATATATTACCGTTATTACTTTCTCTTCGTGAACATCATTTCCATTCTAAAACAGAAAGTGTGCACTTTGAAACTTTTACATATAAGATGATTCAATTATGAATATCACAGCAGTAATAATAATAAGAAGAAGAAGAATAACGATCGACGGGGGAAATCGATTAAATAGGATGGTTTAGATAGACCACCAGAAAACGATGTCGTTTGACCAGTGGGTAAATAGGCAAATAAAAACAAATAGCATTAAGTTGTAAGGGGAAAGAATAAAGAAAATAAAAGATATGATGAATGGAAGTAATAACAAGGTTGTTATTCCGATGGTTACTCCATTCATCCAAGAAAGCTGAAGGCGCCGGCAGCGGCATGGTTGAAATGATGGCAAGGGAAAAATAGTAATAAAGAAGAAAGTAACGAGAAGAAGGAGGGGTGTGGATGGGTATCAGATAGGATACATATATTGTCTTAACATATATTACATGTAATGTTGCATGTAGATAGGTATACACTAGAGACAATTTATGTATACACTTGGTGATGATATTCATGATACCTGCTTTGGAAGTTATCACATAAAAAAATGGTTTCACTGGCATGAAGTTCCACACTAGTGGGATTAATTTCATACGCGCAATCACATACAAAAAGTAATTGTAGAAGTATCTTCTTTACATACAAGAATGATAATGCTATCACATAGATAGACACAGATTCATTTGTCATTAATTCTGGGTTGTTTTTTAACAATATCCATCAACGGAAAGGTCTCCTATCACCATTCGCTGAATAACGTATACACGATGATATAGTACTGCGGGTATAATTTGATCGTGTAGAACGTCCTGAATAAATAAATAAATAATTATGTCAATTAGCGGAACAAATAAATACTCTAAAGGAAATGTAATGGTACAGCTTCAAAGAAGCAGTGTGAACAAATACAAATAATGATAATAATCGTGTCAGACAATATCAACCATTACCACTATTCTTTTTATTTTCTACATACCTTTTACATTATTTCTAAGGGTATCTGACATTGAAGAATGAAGAAAGAGGATTTCTTGACATTTTCAAGTGATAATTTTTAGGCTTTAAATTCACGGCAAATTATATCCATGAGGCTCATTAAGGACTTGCTTGCTTGGAGCTGGATTTCTCCAAATTCTAATGAGAAGTAATAACGTATGTTGTCAAACAGGTCGAGAGTGAGACAGACACCCACCAATAAATAAATAATATTGGTTGATAGTCTCACGATATGTGTTGAATCCGTGGTTAGAAGTGATGAAAACCACAACCAATCAATTTCGAATGTCCTTCATGTGACTGTCTTCGTTCTCGTTCTTTGACACTCTAATTGGTTGACTTTTAAGGCCACCCTGGAAATAATGAGATAGCCAATTACATTCCTTTATTCCATGGAAAGTACTTTTTCAGCTAAAATACCGAAGCCTGATTGGCCATTTCAGTGTTAGGGTGGTCTCGTAAAACTTCAATATATTTTGTTAAGTACAGGTAATGGTGTGTTGTCTTGGTTGGCCAACTAAATTTGTCTCCTCTCTAAGTAAACTGGTGTGACCATCGGATTAACAGGCATATAACAGCTCGAGAGGCAATAATAGTAAGTGAACTTTAAAGGCCATCTTAGCCACTGGTTAAATAACCGGTCAGGTTTCGGCATTTCGGCTGAGATGTTCTTTCATAGAAAAAATTGCGTAAAGTAATTGGCAGTTCTTAGAGTGGCCTTTAGAGTCATTCATAACAGTTATGACAAGTGTTTGGGCATTCCCCTCAATCTGTTAATCATAGGACCCGAAAGGAAACCTGAACCGAGATTAAGACCAGAAAATCAACCGGACCGTCAAGAAACAGATATACCAATATGACCAGATGGCAGATGTAGGGATAAGGGTGCAAATTTAGTTCGGACTAAGTGGTTGGATGCATAACGTGGATCTCTCCCAACCTTATCACTCCACACTGCTGAACAGTCCCAAAGTTGGACGAGACAGTTGTCCAGCGCTTCTCTAATTAACGTCCATCCATGGTGGAAATTACTCTTGAATTATTTGATTTGAAGGATAAACAACTTTATGGGGTCGCGTGACCGAGACTTCTATCAGCCTTACTCTTATAAATACCGATTGCATTTAATCCGTACTTTGCCTCCCATGCTTATCAGTCGTCAATTTCTATGAATGCAAAATGGGATACTGATAAGCATTTACAAGCAACTCACTATTCAATTATGGAAAACTCATCAAGTGTCTCTGTAAATAAATAACCTTCCTCAAGGACAGTCGGTCAGAGGAATCCCCTTGCATGCAATTGGCTGCAACAATTGAATGACGGAGTAATGAGTGCGTGACTCTCAAGGTCACTACTAAAGCGCGGGTTTCTATATTCAGACTGGAATGAAAGTTATTTCCTTTTTGTAAAATAAAGAAAACCAGTTGACTATTCCGGTATTTGTTAGGATGGAGCCTCCACAACCAATCACTGGTATAGAACAATAAATAACGGATTAAAACAAAGATTGTAGAAATACTTGTAAAACAGTACTTATACATAAATTATTAGATAAAGCAAATGTAATAATCGACGCACAACTGAATTCAACATTTTTCTTTGTTGGTCCATTATAGCTTGAAGCAGAATGATTATGCTGTTATCAAATCTACAAATGACTAAATTGGAGGTAGCAACATTTGAGCACTGTTGTGGATTATCAATGATTTCTTCACCTACTCATCACTAGTAATAAATACCAGTGATACAAGTAACCGTTTCCTTCTAACCACTGACTAGTTAGTTGTCATGCTAACGTCCGAAGGTTGACTGATCGACTGTTCAGTTGACTTACTCTTGAGATTTCTTGAATAATCCCTTTATCAGAAATACTGGAATCATTATTAACCTCAAGTAGATATTACTACCTGACAACTAATCAAATGCCTCTCGACATTGTTCCTAGTAGTAGTGAGATCCAGGATGCGCGTCTCGTCTTATTTGGGACTCGTCAACTGGATGTACCTGCTTCCCATTGAGTGTTGTTCCCACTAGGACTTGAATTTGAGACCGATCGCCTCAAATGCCAGACTACTATCCACTAGACCACCGAGCCACGATAGCAACTTCTTATGCCACATATACAGTTTTAGTATTGTTGATCGTATTATCCTGTCGTTGATTGGACAGATTGATAGATCAATCCGGTCCAATCAACGACGGGACAATACAAACAACAACACATATCACAGTTTATTGATAAATCTATTCTTAAACGTGACTGGACTTCACAAACTGAAAGTTAAGAAGAAACGCTTCCAATGACAACCTTAATTCAATCCAATCAAAGATGAGCTCGTAAATAGTGTAAAAACAGAGGGAAAGAGATTATTAGGTCTCTAGTAAACAAATACTCACATACGGAGGTTAGTAGTTATTGGGTCAAATACTGTCTACATTATTACTGGTCACATTATTACCTACCGTCATCAACACCTTTCTCTAAGGTTAACGTCAAATGAACAAGATCTTCAGGCAGAAATTCTTCATAGCCTTCTGAGTTGTCTCTTGTCCCCAAAGCACAATAAATCAATGGTGTTATGCTTCTTTGAATTGCTGGTAAACATAATGGTGATGACGATGATGATGAATTATGAATACTTGAATCCTTACTCAAAGAGTTAGAGATTGAACATTGACGAGTTGCTGGTCTATGTAGTCGATTTTTACCACGGGATTTCAGTGTACATGAAATAGACAATGGCATTGCTCCAATCATCAAACCTTCTGGAAATAATTTCCAAGCCACCTAAATTATCAGTAGTAATAATAAACGGAGTCATACTGTATATAATTTTAATCCACATTCAGAAAATTATAATCATTTAGGATATCTTATTCACTGGAACACTTTAAACATTAGATACCTATTCGAAAAATAATCAGTCAATTGATTTCAAGATGACATTCATCAGCGCACACCCATGACCCCATCAGGGATCGAACTCATGACCTTCATTCGATGATGGTGAAGCCATAAGATAATCACAATCCACAAATGTATTTTAATGACTGATTGAAAAAGAAGAGTGTGGAGTTGTGGTTCATTGGTTTAAGCATTTGATTTCCAACCGACTGGTCACGGGTTCAAGCCCAGCTCCACCTGCTTTCAGACACCGTATCGACTTAAGCTGCCAATCACTTCGTATAAGGATAGTGAAGTGAAAACACCAGGAGCAGATATTAAAGGTTAAAAAAGGGATATTCGTATTAACAAAGTGGAATCCATTCATTATGTACAAGAATTAGAACTTGTATGGATGATCTAATAAATGAAGGATTGGAAGTACTTCGGAGAGTGATTAACGAGAATGATTATTCTTCAAGATTCATTGAGAGGATGGAAGAGACTTCAACGATTCCAAAGAAGACACTATTTATGAATATTGGATCCAAAAGAGATATATAAGCAGAGATACTCAAGAATCGATTTCACATAGCATTAAAGAAGACTTTCTTTTTCGTTCAGCTTCGGATGATTTCCTCCAATCTCAACAACTGATTTGAGACAATGTAAAGGATAAACTACCGCTTTGGACCACCTATATATATATGTTTGCCAACTCACCTGCTCTTGTCGACCTGGTTACATAGGTCCCACACATTGTTGTCCATCCAACCAAATCTCCGAACACTATCCTACATGGCTATCAAAGGGAGTGTAAATCTATCAACGGCTTGATTCTCGAGCACTTGGCTCCACGAGAATCTTCATTCAAAGTCATTTTATAGAGTGAAGTCAAACATTTTGAAAGGAGTGCGTATTCGTTACCTCAACACAGTAGAGGCTTTGTCAATAAAGCGTTACAAGTCTGATTTTTGCGTTCAAAAAAGATACACCCAATCTTTCGTTTCACCTTGTTCATAATCTCTTTAAGACATTTTATCAGTTTCTTTGTTTATTTGTTGTAATTCTATAGGCAATCTTTGATGATCTTGAGTTGACCTTCTAGCTGTTATCATCCTGTGACTTTATTGATCGTTCTCGATGACTTTATGCTGACTCATGATCTACTGACAGATACATAATTTGTTGTAGCTATGATTGTACTACGATTGTAAAACCTTTCAAAATGACTCATCAAAAGGAAAAAAAATTTTCTTCACTGAAGTGTCTTTTTTGTTAAATATCGTTATGAACAAGATATTCAGCGAAGAGACTTTTTTCAACGAATTTATTTTCAAGCTGTACAATTGTATATATATGGTATTTGGAAAAAATTATATCCTGTGAGGAAAACTAAACACTATATGGTGATGACAATAATAATAGAGCGGATGATGACATAAGCATTTATGATTATAATAACAATTGAAGTGCGAATCATAACAAATAGATTATGTAATATATGGAGTGGTACATAGAGAACATATTACTCAGAAGGGGTTGAAAAAATTGTTGAAAATGGTAAATCAATTAAGTATTATGTAATGGCATTAGACAAATTGGACAAGATGAAGTCAATGTTTTCTAAAAGGATTAAGACAATTAAGTGAAACAATACCGGAAACTAGTTAAACTGAAGGCGATTATAATAACAATAATAGTGATAAACGAAGGATACAAAGGTTAAATTAACAAAGTGGGAGGGGGAGCTAATGGGGTGGGGAAATATTATGGCCATGATAGAGACAGCGACTGCACATACTTCTTTTGTACACACAGATCAGGTCTTTGTTCATGAATAGCTAAAGCCTCCGCTGTTTTAAGGAGTTGAAAACGAAGAGAAGGTGGGAGGTTTGGGCGAATTTGATAAATAATTTCAAGTCATTGTCTGAATTTGTTGTGTGATGGGAGTCAATCAAATGTTCTAGAATCGAACTTCTAACAGACTTTCTTTCACCTTTATAAAACCAAGCAGGAACATGTTCTCGTATACGTGTAGAAAGCATTCTCTGGCTACGGCCGATGTACCTTGCTCCACAAGAGCAGGTGAACTGGTAGATGCAGATAGAGGCTGTCAAACGAGGAAGCTTGTCTTTAACACAGGTGGAGAATAGGTTGCGGCTGGTAAAAGTCAACTGAAGTCTTGCTGCGAAGAAAGTCCTATTGATTGATCTGGTAAGACGATTCTTCAGTACATCCGATGCTAGGTCTCCTTTAAACTCTAAGCTCATAAACAATCTTTTCTTTGAGACCGAGTGGATGACTTGTTTAGTGTTTCTTTCCCGCATATTTTTATCAATAAAACGGCTAGGGTAACCGTTTTCCGCTCTATAATTATTGTCATCACCATATAGTGTTTAGTTTTCCTCATAGGATATAATTTTTTCCAAATATCATATATATACGATTGTACAGCTTGGAAATAAATTCGTTGAAAAAAGTCTCTTCGCTGAATATCTTGTTCTTAATGTTACAATGGGAACTATTAAATATCGTTATCTCCAGTAATAGGAAAGATTAGAAGAGAATTGACAAAGAAACAAGATAAGATATATAAAAATATTTAAGATTTAAATCAGCGGAGCACAAATGTCTACCCACTTTATTGTAGTAGAAATGCACAGAGAATTGTTACAACAAGATGAAGAAAGAAAGTGAAAAATGATAAGATGATCAAACGAAAAGTAATCACCTAAGAAATATTTGCATTATTTTTATTCATTCTTGTTTAAGAGTAGGAAGACAAACAGACTGACAAAATCAACTTAGAACCTTGTACATCGAAGTGCATTGGTTTAAGTTGTCATACTTCACAGTAGTATAAAAAGAATAAGTGGATAGAAAAGAAGTGATATTAAAGGAGATAAAAAGTTGTGTAAGAGAATAAACACAATTTGAATATGACGGTTAGTGGAAATATTGAAGCTTCAGAAGACATCAGAGAGTCAATACATTTGCGCTATCGCCACCAATTTTCGGCCATATCACTAAGAATTCTCAACCGCTGATTGCTATCGTCTCAGTGATTCCAGTCAGGTAGTCTATATCTCCTCATACGGCTAAAACTAACAGTTAGGGACTTCATTAACTGATGCCAGCTGTTGGTCTAGTCATGCTGAGGCCTCTTCTAATTTAGTACAGCTTCTTATAGCATAGTACGTCACAGTAGGTGGTTGATTGGCATGCACAATACATATCCGAGCCACCTCAGCTTCTAAAAGTTCACAACTTCATTATAAATGAACAATGTGGAGATAAATGGCTCTTGTTCTAAGTCATATATATCTGATGACGAGTGAACTTGATTAGTACTGCATCCACAGAAGGAGGAGAAGAAGAAGAAGGCAAAGAAGAAGGAGAAGAAGAAAAAGAGGAAGTAGAAGGAGAAGGAGGGGAAGAAGGATCGATGGTTCAATATGATAATTCTTACTCAATTACGGTATTCATTATGCTCAAATATAAGCTACTGAACTTGACAATTTGATCATTTCTATGAAGATAATGGTGATGGAACACACAGTTGCTAGACATCCTCAGACAGAAAATGTTAACTTTCACAGATGTAAAGCATTGAAGTTTTTTACACTAAGTTAGGCTTACGTCATAACAGAGTAAGTAATTAGAGTATCATGTATCAAAAATTTACAAACTAACAAATTCAACCGGGTAAGTAAACCTCTCGATGTTTTACAACGATTCATCATCAAACGTCAGTGGAGGCGTAGATTCCTTTCGATTACACATTTTGACGCTGAAATACACACATTATAGCTTTCATCAACTGACTGAGTGAGATTTGAGTAGCCTATCCTTTATCACATAGTTAGAAAATATATCACCTTCATACACTCAAGGTTGAAAATTCTTGCTATGAGCAAAAGATTTACAGTACCATCAGCACTACCATCACATATCTTCATATCTGACTGAAGAATATCACCAATAACGGAGTTAAGTAGCAATAGCAACAGCAGGCAACTCGCGTGTATCCTTGTCTTGTTCATTTACACATATTTTCCATTTTACACAGTTGCGTCGCTTGGTAACTTCGATCACCAGATATCTGTACTATGCCCTACTCTCTTCTGTAAATCTATGTAACGACAAAACGTTTGCCGAATTGAGTAAGCTTTCAGATTTTATCATGTTGAAAAATGAAAGCTGGAAGTTTTCTCTTTTCGAAGCTATTTCATCAACATTTCTGAGTAACAGACTAAAAATGTTTGGTTAATTCAGAAAACGTATCACTATAGCAGTTATTATGAATGATAGCGAGACTCCTCATCGACGTTTGTGCTAGTTGAAGATACCTTACATCAATACATCTATTATTTATTATTTATTTGTCACTTGAGTTCCTAATGGAGCATAGGGCTTCAGTAGTACGTCTCCATTCCACTCTCTTTGCAGTCTTTTGAACCTGGCTGCACGACAGCCCATAAGCTCTCATTTCCTCCTCGCACGATCTCCTCCATGTCACCCTCACGTCGGACGCCCAACTCGTCGTTTCCCATTTGGGTTTCACTCTAGGGACTGGCCTGGTGCGTGATGTCGCCGAATGGTCTTCTCAGTGTATGCCCAATCCATCTCCACTTCCTTCAACTGCATATTTTTTGAGTGATAGGTTCTTGGTTGGTTCGTTTCAAGAGTTCCTTGTTGCTTATTCTCATCATTCTCACCATCCATCCGATCTTCAGTATTCAGCCAGCATAGGCAGTTGTTGATGAATGTCTGTAGTTTGTTGGGAATGCTTTTCGTAACGCGCCAAGTCTCTCAACTATCACATAGAAGCACTGACTTGACATTGGTGTTGAAAATCCGGATGTTGTTGAGGCTTTATGCTGAGTGCAGTGCAGTCGATCTCCACACTGGTTTCAGGCTAGTGAACGCCTGTCTTGATGTCTTCCCGATCCTGGCTGCCTTTGACGTCCTCGTCTGTGCCTGTGACGTCTGTAGTTGAAACGATGCTGTCTAGGTAGGTGAAGCAGACTACTTCCTTTCCGTTTCTGTCGTTGATGGTGATTGGTGCTTGTTGTTGGTGATGGTGTTGGTTGGGTATCTTCATCACCTCTGTCTTCTTCACGTTCACTTCAAGTCCGGTCTTCGCTACCTCGCCGCTTCTGTCAACTTGTTAGTTTTCGCCTGTAGATATTCCAGTTTTTGTGACATTAGACACAAGTCATCGGCGAAATCCAAGTCTTCTAGGTTCTTTTCCCCGGTCAAACAGCGTATCCCTCTCTTCTCACTCCCCACAGTTGTCTGCTGCATGATCCAGTCCACTACTATCAAGAATATCATGGGTGATAGTAGGCAGCCTTGTCTCACTCCTTCCTGTCTCCACTTCAAAAGCATCACTGAGCTTCACATTGCAAATCACTTGGCATGTGGCGTCTTCACATAGTTGTTGAATGAGATTGATAAAGGTTTGTGGTATTCCACAGTGTTGAAGCAACTGCCTGTCAAATTACTTCGCAGTCAACGCTGTCGAAGGCTTTTCAAAGTAGATGAAGTTGAGGTGAGGTAGAGGGTTGAATGCTATTTTATACTCTGTTCTATGATGATGCCTAGCGTTGCAATTCGGTCCGCACCCGATTTGTACTTACTGCAGCCAGCTTGTTCTGGCCATAGTTTTGAATCCAGCGCATGCTTTAGTCTCTTCAAGATGATGCAACTTAATTGTCAAAGCTTGAGGATTGTGTGAACGTGTATGTCGTTTTCTAAACCAATCTTAACTCACTTTCTTCAGTGATACATTTGTAACTTACAAGAATATCTTATATCATCCGATCTAACCACATATTTACCAACTGCCTTTATAGCTGATGCCAAAAACTCTTCAAAATAAGATTAGTTAGTTACTAGTGAGCTGGCTGGTTATCAGTCAGTACTTCTGATGACTTAGACTACTATATAAATAACTTATAGTAACAAGTATCAATCTACTCACCCAACTTACTCGACTTCAATCCAATGTTATGAATAGACTTTAAAATGATAGAGAATATTTATAGCTACAGGAAAATGATCTCGGTTTTGTTGTATTCTCTGACCTGAGTAGCTTAATTGTGAAGCTTTCATCAGAGCAAACGTTAATATGAAGTGGGATGTCAATACATCCGAATAGACTAGTATTTGTTAGGTATTTAGTAGACTTCAATCTCGCAACCTTCTGTTGTATACATTTCGAACATCATCTTTGATATCAAAGATGATACAAGTCGGTCAAAGTGACTGAACACTATTTCAAGTTCATATTTTCTCCGTGATCAAAATGGTTATATTTAAGGTGGCTTATTTTTCAAAACAATCTATGTTCATGTATATGCATATATTGGTTACACATGGCAAGAGTAATTCACTCTTGTATAAAAGATGAAAATACTATCCATTTATCATCAAATAGTGAAATTAAAACGTATATTAAGCAATATCACCATTTGATGCATTAGACAATGAATAACAAAACAGTCTTGTTGTATGCTATTGACTTCAACAATGACAAAAAGAATAGATAGCCCGCCATATTACACGGATGCGAGTTGTCCAGGGAGCTATACTCATCAAGTGGTGTCCGTCAAGGATGCCCACTATCCCCATTCTTATTTAATCTTATCATAGATATTCTTACAGAGGTTTCCCTCTCGTCACCTAATTACACAGACGTTGACCCAATCACGGGTGAATTTTCTTTAGATCTAGAATATGCAGATGACATGACATAGTCCTGTTAGGTGAAGACGCTGACAAGATGCACAGTCTTCTGAACACTTTGAGTGGGAATTTGAGAATGTTTGGGATGCGATTTTCACCACCCAAATGCAAATTTTTGCTCCAGGACTGGTCTTCAGCGGTACCGCGGTTAACAATAGAGAGTGAAGTGGTTGACTGTGTTGACCACTTCACTTACCTGGGAAGCAGGATCAACCCCGGTGGGTTAGTTGCCGATGAGATTTCTGCACGGATACAAAAGGCTCGATTGGCTTTTGCCAATTTGCGCCACCTATGGCGCCGCCGTGATATTCGTTTGTCTATTAAGGGTCGCGTGTACTGCACAGCAGTCCGCTCTGTTCTACTATACGGCTGTGAAACATGGCCATTGAAAGTGGAGGATACAAAAAGGCTTCAGGTATTTGACCACCGTTGCCTTCGTAGTATAGGACGTATTCCGTGGTGTCACCACATGAGTAATGCAGAAGTTAGGTGTAGAGTTTTGGGGAGAAGAGGTAAGTCAGTTGACGAGGTTGTGAACCTTCATCGACTGAGATGGTTGGGACACGTACTACGTATGCCTAGTCACCGATTGCCTCGTCACACAATGTTGGCTGAGGTGGGTCCAGGCTGGAAAAAGGCCTGAGGTGGCCAGACTAAAACATGGCACCAATGTATGAAGTCTCTGACTGTTGGTTTAAGCCATGTAGGACGATGCAGACTAGGTGGTTGGGGTCCACCGGACAAGAGGAACCAGTGGTTGGAGACCCTAGGTGATATGGCTCAGAACCGAAGTCAATGGCGCAGATGTATACACACATTATCCTCATCTTAACAACGCTATACCGAATCTCACCATTTTGTCACTCCTCTTTCCTTTCTTCTGGTACTTTATATTTCTTTTGACTGCATTCACTTATCTTCATCCTTCACCTCACTGCCTTTTTACTTGATGTGCTGATATGAGGTGTGGCAACTTGGACCGTTACGCAGTAATGCCTGGTCCTATGTTGATAATGATGATATTACACGGATAAGAATTGATTGAGAATACATAGTTGACAAAGAAAGTATCGATGTACTAATGTATAACAGTTAGTGAAATTGTTAAAATACATTGTATTGTATTCAGGCGATTTAAAGCTGAAAGCTGTCTATTGATACATGTAATTTCCCATTGCTACACGCTAAGTCGAACTGATCGATGTCTTTTAGCAGATGAGCTCCTATGCGGATGCCTCGATATTGCCTGGAAATTCATGATATTGTAGTCAATTTAATGCCTAACAGTGGTATCCAGGACACGCGTCATGTCCTATTTGACTGAAATTATTCAATCAAATATATCAATGAACAGAACAATGCCGAATTTACTGCTTCAGCTAGCCACAATTTCATCATCGTCATCATGACGACTTGCAATACGGGAAATTAACAACATTAGAGAAAGATATTAAAAGAGAGAAGAAAGAGATTAGAAGGGGTAGGGTGAGGGGAAGTTAGAAATCAAGGCTTATCAACTGTTTATGATTTTGAAGCTATTCAAACGAGAATACAACTTTGATCCAAGTTACCCAAGTCTGACGGCTGATTTCGTACATATGGAAAACGAATGTCGACTGGTACGCACACCTGTAAGATTTTATGAGTTCATTCAGTGTATTGGTTTAGCTAGTTTCAACATCTCTCTGAACTAGTTAGTGTTCTACAAGAAGATATTATAGATCAAGGTAGAAACTGACTCTGAAAAATTTTAAGATCATTCACTTTGTGGTTTCATCCTTTCACTTTTAGATGTCCATAATAGAAAGGCCTTTAACGACCAAGTTTCATATGTACGAAATAGGAAAAAATGACCTGTTGAGTAATATAAATACACTTGCCTTTCGATAGGATGGCTTAGCTTACAGCTGACGTAGGTTGGTAAGAGTCAAATAAGCTTTTAGTATCTATCACAAGATTCTGTAAACAATTATCCCATCAGTATCGATGTAACTTATCAAATAAGTGAAGTGGTGAAAGCAACCTGTACACATAATATATGTCAATACAGATAAGTGCCAAACATACTCAGATTTTCGCTAGTATTCTGTCAGTGTCTTTGCTCAACAACAGACTGTTACATACATAAGAAAAGTAAGTTATCTATCATTATCTATCGCCAATTAGTTAACAAACCTTTAATCCACCAGATAACATGAATAAGTTACAATAACCTCTTTGTACTAATGTGGTTGCAGCTCTTGGTGCCAAACGTTCATCCTCATCATATACAATAATAATATGACCTGGTCGATTACGATAAGCCAACATTTCAGTAGTTTCAAAATTTACACTACGTGATAACATTGCTATAGGATAATTACGTGCTATGATGAAACAGAAAAGAAGAAAAAAAAGGCCTTCAGTGAACATATACATATGTATGCATCCATATTCATTGAACAATGTGTTTATTCATTTTAGAATAGTTGAGAAGTATAAAAATATGCTTACAAATGGATTAAAAGAGATGAATTTCTCAGTTTCATTGCTATAGATATACGTATGCTAAATGAATTTGGTGTCAAACAAGACAAATAAACTCGGCTATCACTGTGACTTGAATTTGTTCGAGTAGACACTACTGATGAGCTTGATTGTAAATTAGTGAAACTGCCATCCATCCACTCTCTCATTTGGCTAACAAAATTCATAAATTGGCGTCAATCCTTTCTAACCAATTACTTGTCTTATATTTTTAAAAATAAGGCTAATAAACTTGTTGATAACCAATCATATTTCACTTTAAAATAGCATATTTTACTAGTTTATTGTTATAATGCCTCAGTTTTGTATAAAACATTGTTTTTGATCTGAACATTCCCACATCGTTTTGGCGGTATGACTAATAGTCTATTTTCTGCCTCAATTGTAATGTAATTCGCTGGTTGGTTAACTTTTACTCTTACTATGCGAATTTCTCCAATTGCGGACAAGGTCATTTGTCATGTGGATACTTAGTCACGTGTTTTGGATTGATTCATTGTTATTATATTATATTCTCGGAGTAATACACTCTCCCATCTGCCAGCTTCGGTTTCCTCTCTATTCATCCCGGGGTTGCAGCCAGTGTCTCTTGCGTACCAAGTTAGCTGTCAGCTAAGCGAGCGTATTATATTCATTTCGGAATATATACATATACCATTAGCGCATCAAACCCATAACAGTGGCGACGGGGATTGGATCAAAAATGGACTATTCGATGATGGAAAAATTTCTCGAACTCATAACATTTATTACATATTTTTACTACAGAAATTATATCCATAATCTTGGGACTCTATCTAAACATCGATTTACACAGAGTAACCAATTGATGGATAGTCAAGGTGAACAATAAATATATTGTGAATAATTTGTAAATTATACAGGTGAACAACCTTGGTGTTGATTTTGTTTGCCTGAAATATGGTTCCTGAGTAGTACATTATATCTTCGATAACTGCCTGGATATAATTACTATTAACCCAAAAGTTTTACAACTTTGCTCTTACAGAATCTTATTTGTACGAAATGGTTTCTCAATCAAATGACACGATAGGAAACTCATGAAATACACCAGCGTTGTTAGGCGAGACTATGATATGTTTGTCGGTCAACACTAACCTAGTGTAAACAAAGTATATTTGAAGACAATGTTTGTCTTTAGGAGATATCTTGATGTAAAGGTGAATAAGTTACCATATGATCATTAAGTTAGTGTTGATTGGTTCACATTTTCAAACTTCACTCAATTGGCAACCTGGAGTAACCGTAAATCAGCTTTACTGGTGATCTCTCAGGTTAAGTCACAAATTCATCTATCACTTTTCCGTAGGTGTGTATAGACAACAAATCAATTAACGCACATCATTAAGTTGAAGCTAAATAAGTCAAGTTCTAAGAAAATTATAATGAAAAAATAACTTTTGTTCAATTACACCTTATTTTTCTTTGAAACAAAACCTACCCGTTATAATATGACATGCATCATATTCATCACGATCTCTTACATCGAGTAATAGATATGGATAATCTAATAATGAAGTTAACCTTCCAGTTGAATCTGGGATCTGTGAACGTGATTGGCCAAAATGTGTGTCGAATTCACCAATACCGGTGACAAGACTATAATTTAATTTTCAAGAAATATTATTTTAAAATAATAAACGTAAAAATATTAAGCTTAAATATCATTCAAGTTAATAGTTTTAATATAATAAAGTCAATCGGTCTATCAAATAAAGCCCTTGATGATTGAAATGAAACAAAAATCTGATCAGAGGTCACATCTTGTAGCTCAGTGGGTAGAGCACTGGATCGGAAATCCAGTGATCACTGGTTCAAATCTTGTCCTAGACTAAATTTTCACTTCGCCTTCATCGTCACCCAGTATTATATAGATCTTGGGTTTATGATCTAATCGAATGTGTTGATGTAAACAGTGTATGAAGGACATTATTCTGTTTCTAGCTCTCAAAATAAGGCAAACCAGAAATGATTACAAACCTTGAGGTATACAATTGTGAATCGAAAATATATCGATCCAAACATTCATTTCTTTTCAATATCTTTTCTTTAAATTTTTTTCTTAGTAATATTACTTTCTACTCATTGTTTCACTCAGTAACCTTGTGTACAACTATGCAGTAAGCAATGAGTCACACCCATAACATGAGGGGTAATGATACTACTTAATTGCTCAGACCTCAGTAGGTGGAGCTAGGTCTAAACCCGTGACCCACTGGTTGAAACCCAACTCCCTAAACCAATAAATCCTTCAACGTAGAAATACAATCTTACCATAGATTTCATAACTATCAACTAAAGATGAGATATGATCACTAAGCATATACTAATAGTACTACTGATGGATAGTAGCTAGCAATGTAAATCAAGACGCACGTTCCATCCTATTTGGGACTCATTAACTGGACGTATCTGTCTCCCAATGATTGATATGGTCCCCCAACAGGACTAGAACTCATCACCCATCACGTATGATAGCCATTTCTTGTATAGAAGTTTGATTTTAGAGCTTTCAGCTTCCCTTAGTTGACTGCATGAATCATAACATGAATACGCTGTTTGAGAAATGAACTTCATAGTATAGATTTAAAGGGTAATTTCGAAAAATTTATTCATGTTAAAGTTAATTTTTAGTTATAAAATTCTTTGAAGAGAAATTTCATTTCACAGACCGCATAAATCCCTTAATGAAATACACGATATAAGTCAGCTATATAGGACAAAGAGACAGGTATATAGACAGATAGAGGGAGAGAGCTATGTGTTAATGAGTAGACAATACATAAGATAATAGACGGCAAAGAAAAGCGGATAAACTGTTTAAAGAAGAGATTTCATGTGTCATAGGAGGCCAAAGAAAACAAAATAGGAACCTCAAGTAACGTGTCTTTTAAAATAAATATCATACTACAGTTGATAATACTTGGCTAGGACTGACTTAATAGTATTGTGGTATAACTTGGTGACAAAGCTTTCTATTGATTTCCCATTCGAACTAAACCACTGTTCACAAAAATCACTTAGTTGATCGGACAACTGGGATACATAAAAACAACCAAGAAAATATGTAGAGTCGTCTTAGAAATTTCTGAAAAACCTTTAACAGGATCATGAAGGCAAATTCCCAAATATCATTTACACGATACTGTATGACATAGATTACTGGCAATGCAGACAGTGGTATGGTTTCAAACAAGACAAACCCATTTGAAACATTGATAGTTTTCTTTCTCAAATAAAAGATATTTGTAAGTCGTAAATATAGCATAAACCTCTCCTGGTTAACTAGTTACCAGCAGGTCCTAAATCCGCATAAACAAGGAAGGTTGGGTACAGGGCTAGCAACCCTACCCCAGAAAACAAATCCAATCGATAAACAAACTTCAGAGCACAAAGAAAATATTTTAAAAAAATTAGTCCTCGCTGGAATCGGAGAGACGAAATGACACCAGTTGATGAAAGCCTTCGGCAAACCAGTCGCACAATGCGTCTTCTCTCCCTCGATGAAAGCGAAAGTAAACATGGCGACATGGAATGTCCACACCACGTATGAACCTAGCTGGCACGACTGCCCAGATTCATAAAAAAATGACAAGCTATGGCATACAATTGATAGGAATCTGAGAAAGTAGGTGGGATGGAAGTCAACTCATCCAACTATCAACTGCAGAGTCAATAATCTACTCCGATACTGCCACCCACACGACAACCATCAGCACACTGACTTCCAAAGTGGCTATCATGACATCCATAACAGCATCAAGGGCTCTCTCTCTCTCATGCAGTAGGAGCCAATCTCATCCAGCACCAAGATCAGCATCATCACAGCAAGATGCATTCAACTCAAAAGGAAGCAAAGTCATAATCATGCAGATGAAGAGAAGAAGGAGCTATTCTACAGACAACTGCACTCAGCACTACACAAGACTCCAGTTGGCCACATCAAATTCTAATAGCTTGGGCTACATCAATACCAAACATGGAGCCGACAACATACGAAGAGGACTCATCATGGGTCGACAAGCACTCCATGAAATGAATGACAACGGAGAACTGTTTGCAGAATTCTCTCTGTGCATTCAACGATTCGGTGATTGGGGGCACTGTGTTCAAGCACAAGGATATCCACAAAGTGACATCGACTTGATTTCACCAGACACCAGGATACACTACACTAAAAATCAGATCGATTTCATGTCAATCTGGAGAAAGTGGAGACACAGTCAGCCAGCCTACTTGACACAACATCAGATCAGATAGAGAAGGGGAACAGATGTAGTTTCACACCACTCACTTCCTACTGCAAGGAACCTACCTCACAAATCAAGTTGAACACCTTCAAAGAGGCTGCTGGTCATAGACCACAGTTCAAGTTCAACACACAGAACATAAAAGTGAAGCAACATCTTCACGTCAGCCATCAAGATTAAATGGGAGATATCCGGCAACATCCATGAAGAAAGTTGTGTGTATCAACACTGGAAGTCTTTGAAAGAGATGTGGAAGTAAACCTGCATAACCGTATTAGGAAGGATTAAGAAAGAGGATAAGGAATGGATCCCGACACACACATGGAAGCTGACACAGTTGGGAGAGGAGGATGGGGAAGCTGGTAATAAACAGGGACACATTTCAAAGAGTATATATATATATATATATATATATATATATATATATATATATATATATATATATATATATATATATATATATACATTCCTTTAATAAGCTAGGCTGTCGAATCACTCTCACGGGGCGACTTTGTTGAGTCATACACTCCAAACTATCAATAATAAAATATTGCAAATAAAAAGGGTAGGAAATAATCGATTGTTTACACATTTTCAGGTGACTTTCAAGCGAACAGTTACATTTCATACCACCCCTCTCCAGTCAGAAATTGGGTCACATCAGTCTGGCCTCCTTGGGTCTTCGAATAGTCCACCTCCTGGGCTGTCACGCCATTCTTCTTTTCCCAAACTTCGATTCTCAGCTGATATCGTAGGGAGAATAGGATGGTGAAGAAGAAGATAAACTAGTGCAGTACAGGGATGAACAATGAGAAGAGGAACTGAACACAACGTATAAAACACTACACCTGACAAAGAAGTCAAGAAGAGTGCGCGCAAAAACAAAACACACTTCACACACTACACACTGGCAAGTGAAGCAGAACAGACTGCAGGTAGGAGAGACCTGACAACATTGTATCAAATGACCAGCTCACTTACTTACTATCTGGGAGGGAAGAGATCAACAGAACACAGATGAAACCAATAAAAGATGATCAAGGAAATCTAATTACTAAAGGAGAGAAACAAAGGAAACAATGGGCTGACCACTTCAAAAAGCTCTTGAATCGACCACCACCACCACCACTTGCATTTCGACCAGAAATATCACCAGCAACGGCAGAACTACAAGTGAACACAGACACTTCGACAAAATCAGAAATCTTAAATGCCATAAAACCACTAAAATCCGGCAAAGCAGCAGGACCAGATAGAGTCTCACCAGAAGCACTGAAAACAGACTCAGAGACAACAGCGAACATACTCACACCACACCAATAATGCACAAGGTTTTGGAAGGAAGGCAAGGCACCTGCCCATCAATTCGAAGAAGGGCTAACTTGTCAAACTCTCAAAGAACCTCCACCTAAGGCTTTACCAGAAATGGCAAAGAATCATGCTCCACTCCTGTACACCAAAAGCAAGCAAATATCATGCCACATCATCCTGGAGAGAATGAAGGATGAGCTGCATCCAAAACTACGACGCAAAAGGCTGGCTAGCTCGATTCAAGAAGAACAAATCATGTGCGGATCATCAAACTGAAACACTACGCTACGCATCATCATCGAACGCAGCACAGAATGTCAGTCAACTGGATCTCTACCTCAACTTCATCCACTTTGAAAAGGCCTTCGACAGCCTCGACTGAGAAGTAATTCGATGGACAACTGCTTCATCACCACCGTTGTAGTGCCACTAACCTTTATCAAACTCATTCAACAACCATATGAAAAGGCCACACGCCAAGTAATTCACATTGGGAAGGAAGCTCAGTGACACCTTTGAAGTGAAGACAGGAGTAGGACAAGACTGCCGTCTACTATCACCCACAATCTTCCTGATTGTGTTCGACTGAACTGGATCATGCAGCAAACCGTGAGGAGCGAGAACATGGATATAACCTGGCTCGACCGATGAAAAGCAGCTAGAAGATTTAAATTTCGCCAACGATGATGGTTGATGTCTAATGTCTTGTGGCACAAACTCAAAGATCTACAGGCGAAAACTAACAAGTCGACAGAAGAGGCGGGGCAGCGAAAACGGTGCTTCAAGTGAATTTAGGAAAGATGGAGGTGATGAGGATACCCAACCAACACCAACAACAAGCTCCAATCTCCACTAACAGGAAAAACTTAAAGGAAGTAGCCTCTTTCACCTATCTAGGCAGCATCATTTCAACTAAAGACGTCACAGGCACAGACGAGGACGTCAAAAGCAGCCAGGATAGGAAAGACATCAAGACAGGCGTTCACTAGCCTGAAACCAGTGTGGAGATCGACTGCACTGCACTCAGCATAAAGCCTC